AACCAGCACGAACGTGTTCACCACTAACCCATGTCCCCAGTGCTTCATCCACACACTTTTGAGCACTTCCAGGGATGGTGGTTCCCTGCCCTGAGCAGCCTGTTCCAATGCCTGACTGCCCTTTCAGGGAAGGAGTTTTCCCTGATACCTAATCTAAACCTGTGGTACAACTTGAGGCCGTTTCTTGCTCCTTGTTCCTTGGGAGCAGAGCCTGACCCCCACTTAGCTGCACCTCCTGTCAGGGAGTTTGTAGAGAGCCAGAAGTTTCCCCCTGAGCCTCGTTTTATCCAGGCTGAGCCCCCACAGCTCCCTCAGCCACTCCCTGTGCTCCAGCCCCTTCAGGAGCTCAGTTCCCTTCCATGACCACGCTCCAGCACCTCCATGTCTTGTCATGAGGGTCCAGAACTGCCCCCAGGATTGGAGGTGCCTCAGGAGGACAGTCACTGCCCTGGGCCTGCTGCCACACCATTGATGACACAAGCCAAGTGCCATTGGCCTTCTTGTCCACCTGTGTTCATGTTCAGCCGCTGTCTGCCTAGCACCCTGAGGGCCTTTCCAGCCCAGCAGCTGTCCAGCCCAGGAGCACCGCAGGGGGTTGTTGCAGGAGTTCACGTACAAAGAGGTGACGCCATTATCATCATCTTGAATATCTTGGGCATGTCTTTATTATTTACAACAGCTATTATTGGTTAACCACTATTACTAGCCCACCTTACACACAACATAATTGGTTATTAACATATCGATCATAAAATGCTTAACTGTTATTCTCCACCCCTAACTATCTTCAACTTCTGCATCCCACAGGCAAGAGCTGCTTATCTTGCTACCTTTCTCACATTCCAGCCACAGCAGCATCCTTGAACAGCTTAGCTTGCAGCTTGCTCAGGCCCTGCTAGCAAGGCTGGATTGCTCACGTCTGTTAGCAATCAGAAATTCTCCTACAGGTTGTGGTGACCGCACAGGACCAGCCACCCCCTGCTGGCCCTGCAGGGCTACTTGGCCTTTGTCAGGCACAAGTGAGTGTGCAAGTAACATCAGTGGCAGCGCTGGGTGTATTCCTCGACAGCAGTGTTGCATACTGCACTGAGATGGCTTTTAATTGGTGCCAAATATTTTGCAACCAAAGGACTTACCTTACAGTATGTGGTGTGTTCTAGCCCACCCCTGTTGGGGTCCTTGCGAGGGACACACTACAGCACACACCAATATGATGCTCTGATAGCCAACTTTATTTAGGGCACCTAACAGTATTTATAGTAAAATGTCTCCCGTACATGCAGCTACGCGCTGATCACACAACTTTGGATTGGTTGCTCAACCTGTCAATGCTGCAGTTCTCACTTATGATAGGTTACAACTTTAAGTTGCATCCCGCTCTCACATCCTGGGAAACTGATAACAAGAGCTACACAGTGTCTATGAGAACCTAAACAACAGCACTATTCCCAGCTTGTTAGCAAAACAACTTATCTATAAGGCAGTAAAACTAAAACTAAACCTAAAACCCCCTGGCAGCAGGAGAGAGCAAGACCATTATAAGGTGTTGGATTGAAGACACAGGAATGCATGAAGGTAGAAACAAGGTCAGCAAGACCTGTTTTGTGTGTCTTGTTTTTAATTGCTTAAGCATTCCTTTAACCATTGCTCAGGTTACAGCTCCTCTGCTAGCCAGGCCCCAACACACTCCTGAGGTGGTTACTCGTGGTCTTGTTAGTAGATCCTTGTGTTTATATGTTTATATATGGCAGGTTTGTTTTAGCACACTTTGCTTGCAATAGAAGGGAGGTGCGTAGCCTTTTGGGTTGTTATATATATAAATATCAATAGATATTTTGATACCTATGGAAATAGAGGAATATAAAAGTATAAGACTTAAGAAAATAAGGGAAAGGGAATATTTTTGGAATATTGGGGGATGATTTAAGGGCTTAGCTAATAAGAGTAGATAGCAGAGAATAGGATAGATAAGAGGAAAGATATCACCACCTGTGAAATCAGTGGTGAGACATGATTGTTCCAGTTTAGATGTCCCTTGTTTGAAGTGATGGTTAGAGGCTTGATCTGTCAGGGGTGGGAGGAGACCACACAACATAGAGTTCAGTGGGTTCATTTACAGAGTCACGGAATCAATCAGGTTGGAAGAGACCTCTCAGATTCAAGTCCAGCCTATGACCTAACACCACCATGGCAACTAGACCATGGCACTAAGTGCCATGTCTAGTCTCTCCTTAATCACCTCCAGGGATGGTGACTCCACCACCTCCCTGGGCAGCACATTCCAGGGTCTAATTGCCCTTTCTGTGAAGAAATTCCTCCTAATGTCTAATCTAATCTAACCCTGGCACAGCTGAAAGACTGTGGTCTTATCCTGTCACTAGCTGCCTGAAAGAAGAAGCCAACCCCCACCTGGATACAACCTCCTATCAGGGAGTTGTAGACAGTGATAAGATTGCCATACATTCAGGTGGGAATGCTCAGGTACCTCCCCTCAGATGGGTGTTTTACAGTTTCTGATGCTACACTGTGGCTCATGCAGAGTTCCCTGGGGGGAAAGACTGTGGTCTTATCCTGTCACTAGCTGCCTGAAAGAAGAAGCCAACCCCCACCTGGATACAACCTCCTATCAGGGAGTTGTAGACAGTGATAAGATTGCCATACATTCAGGTGGGAATGCTCAGGTACCTCCCCTCAGATGGGTGTTTTACAGTTTCTGATGCTACACTGTGGCTCATGCAGAGTTCCCTGGGGGAAGCCCCAGAAGTGAGTCTGGGGGTGCTTCAGGACGGATTTGGTGGTTTGTGATCCCTCAGACAGCTAGTGGAGCCAGTTGTGCCTTATCAGAAGGGATAAAAACCTTCAGGCTATTCATGAATGTCCCAGTACCTGCCCCAGGGTGGGAAAAGGTTTAAACCTGAGCCAGTTGTGTAAGGGAGGGAATTGGCATGATAGAAAGCATTATCCCACCTCTAAGGATCTGCTGCTTTTCCCTTATCTGGCTCAAAACCAGCTTGTAGCTAAACAAAAGTGGGTTTGTGTGATCTTCCTTGGGTGGTGGGTGTACACCCCCTCTGATCCTGGGCTGTGCATGTACAGATCAGAGGTTTCACTACCAACATCCAAAAAACTCTCCTCCTCCCTTGCAATTAGGGGGTGCAAACCTGCCCTCAGCAAAGTACCTGCTGGTCTTGCAAATGGTGATTGTGTGTCATTAACCTTTGACATTTCAGTCTTGGAAGCATTAGTTGAATGCAAAAAAAGCTGGAGAAAAGTTTATACATAAGCTCCCTGAGAGAATGCCAGTACTCCAGCCTTTGCCAGCAGAGCTGCCTAGAGGTCTAGAGCTCCAGCTGCTGGTCTGCTGCTCCAGTGGGTTGAGGAGCTTGAATCCTGTGTCTGATATGTGATCTGAAGGAGGATAGATTTAGATTAGCTCTTGGGAAGGAATTCTATGGGGATGGTGAGGCACTGGCACGGGTTGTCCAGAGAAGCTGTGGCTGTCCCATCCTTGGAGGTGTTCCAGGCCAGGCTGGATGAGGCTTGGAGCAACCTGGTCTAGTGGAAGGTGTCCCTGCCCATGGCAGGGGTGGAACTGGATGAGCTTTAAAGTCCCTTAGAACCTAAACCCTGTGATTCCATGATTTTAGCTGTTTCTTGGATCATGATCCATCTTCTTTTTAATTTAGGAATCAAAAAGACTATTTAAAGTGTTTCGGTTTTAATTGGACTGAGCAATTTATTCACTCTGAGTAATTCAGCAAGATTGGGTTGTGGGCAGATCTCCCTTCTGAAACAGGAGATTCTGCATGTAACTTCCCTGTGCAGGTTCCCGGAACTTTGTGGACTTTGCCAAGGTGTACGGACTAAAAACATCTACAGTGCAACACTTTAAAACATGAGTCCATATTGGAAAGTATGTAACAAAGTGATGAATTGTAAAGTAAAAAAAAGTCGCTTGGCCTGCAGTGAGAATTTCTTCTCCTTTTTGCTGCGGAACTCTGACTTATTACTGTAATTCTTTATGATCTGGTGTTCTTGAGTTTGCCTGGGGAAGGATTTACCCTAGGAGGAACAGGAGCTTGTGTACCCACTCTTAGAACAATGACCAAATCATCAGTCATGTTCATGTGAAGGTTTTTAGCTACCTGTATCCTGTATTTAGATCTGTAAAAAAATCCATAGCAATGAAGTGATTTCATAGACCCTGTTTGGGACAAGTATGAGCTCTAATTTACCCAATTTGAGTAACAGACTGAAATTACTGTCAGTGGTTAAGTCACAAGAGGAAAATCTCTTGCACACCTAAATGGAGCCCTATGAGTAAGGGAAAAGTTTCTTTGCTTTGTGTTATGTCTCAGAGAACTAACCCAAAGCAGGAGTAAGTGTTGTAAAAATGTGCATTTAAGGAGAACTTCAGGTGTGGAAGCAGTAAGCACTGTCGGTAGATGAAAGCTTGTTTGCTTTATATTTCACTACTCCGAAATCTGTGCTGAACCACAATAAATAAGGAAAATGCTGTTTTTCGGAGGGAGGTAAAGGACATATATTTTAAAAACTGCCTTCAAAGACAGAATCAGTCAGGTTGGAAAAGACCTCTGAGATCATCAAGTCCAACCTATAACCTAACACCACCATGTCTACTAGTCCATGGCACTAAGTGCCACATCCAGTCCGTCCTTAAACAACTTTATGACTTTAGTCTACAATCACATCTCTTCTAACTTTTCTTTTTAAGAGTAAATGATTTTTGAATGAAACAGGTTTCATGAGCGACTGTGCTACAATTTGCTGTGTGTGTAACAAAGGCAAGAATATATAAATTAAGGGGGAAAAATCCCTGAATTTCCTGGTGTTGAAAAAAATAAGTCTTGACAAAGATTTGATGGGACATTCCAGCAGAAGGTATACAGAACTTTTCTTAGCCTCACTGCACTCCAATTTGGAGTATAGTTGGAAATTGTAAGGGATTTAATCTTAAAACTCTCTAATTCTTTTGTCAGGTGTCAGAGATGGGTGGAGAACTGTCGAAGGGCAGATCTAGAAGACAAAACTCCAGATCAGCTGAACAAGCACTACAGATTGTGTGCCAAACATTTTGAGACTTCCATGATATGCAGAAGTGTGAGTAAACTCAAGGATTTTTTGGTTGCATCTTGTGATATGTGACTGAAGTTTTCCATCAGGATGCTGCCTTTAATCCTGGATCTCCTGGGGAACTGCTCCCTGGGGAAATGAGTCTCTTAGTCTTAATTGAGATCATTGTTGTGCTCTGAGGCACCACAGTTGGCACAAAGGATGAGGTGAAAATGGGGCAGAGAAAACCAGAGCTTCTCCTGCTGGTTTGAGGTGTTTGTGGAGCACTGGCTTTCCTTGCAGCTCCTTCAATGCTCATTTTGTTTATCTCACTAGAGGTTACAACATTATACACATTTATTGGGTATTAATATGAAAGTTTGCATACCTGTAATTATTTAGGATTGTTAATGTGCTCTTATTGAAGTTGTACGTGGTATGGATGTGGTTAAATTCCATTCTGTGGTGGGCATGAGATTTGAACACTCTTTGCACCTGTCAAGCTTTTGGTTCCAGTTAGATTTTTATCCAGCTAAGATCATGGTGGTGTTTGCTGGGAATGAAAATATAGCTTTTAATTCTGCTCGTTAACAAGATCATGTTGATTTTAACAGCTTCATAACAGTGGGGAAGGGTGGCCTTGTATCAAGTTGGAATTTCTAGACTGAATTTCACTCTAGGACATAGGAAAAATTAGTGCTTTAGTTATGAAGGAGAATTAAAGGATATGTAATAATAATATTCAATGATAGTTAAAGGATATTAGTTATGAAGGAGAATTAAGGTTGGCCTTAGTGGTACTGCACCTGACAGAGTCTGTAATTAGCCAACATCCCAGAAACAGAGAAATGTTAGAAGTCATTCTGAGTCTGAAATGAATGTTTCGAATGTATTTCAATCTAATGGCAGAGAGAAATGGCTTCAGATAAAATTTTTTATTCAGTGGAAATCAGCCATTTTAGGCAACACAAGTTTACAGTATATCCAAATGCAAAATTTTACTTAAAATATGTTTATTTAACTGGAAACATTTTCATGTCCATCTAGAAATTTTCTCTCTGTTCTATTGACAGATAAATTTTCTTTCAACATGATCTTTCATAATAGTGGTTTATGGAATTCATAGTTCTGTAGAAAGCAGCAGTTGGACATCTTGAAAATGAAAATAGTAACATCAGAAAGTGAAAATCCTTTAAAATAAAGAAAGGAGAAAAGAAAGAAAAAAGGGCACAGGGTCTGAAATTCTGTGGGGTCTGTGCACACACAGTGAGAACTTCCTAAAGAATTCCCTAATTTAGGTGTGTGTCTCCTTGCAGAGCCCATACAGAACGGTTTTAAGGGATAATGCTGTGCCAACTATATTTGATCTTACAAGTCACCTGAGCAATCCCCACAGCAGACATAGGAAAAGGATAAAAGAGCTGGTAAGTGTTTCATGTAAAATTATTGCTTTGCTTTAATATTAAAAGAAAATAAAAAAGGCAAGTCATTCGTGGGGAATTTCTGTACAAAAATTCTACTCGTAATCTCTGTTGATATGCTAAAAAAAGTACAATTTCTAAATATTTCTCCATGAGTTTGAATCTGTTCGTTGACTGAAAATAGAGGTAAAGATGGTTCTGTCTACTGACAGTGCATGAGCAAATGGAAATAAAATCTGTTTAATTGAGTCTATTTACTAATAATTATAAAATAGATATTGAAGAAACTCCTGAGTATGAGAATCTTAGCAGATTGTTCTCATGTAGTTAGTACATGCGTGTCATGGCAGCAATAAACTACCTGAAGAAACATCTTTGTCTTATACTTTCTAGCAGTTTGTGGTAAATATTAACTGGCCTCATGTACAATATTTGGGTCTGATCTTATTTGTTAATATTGTAAAGTTGTGTGCTAGACTTTATCACCAATGTAACTTCTTTTTGTTTGGTTTATTTTTTTAAGAGTGAAGATGAAATAAGAACACTGAAGCAACAAAAGAGTAAGTGGGCAAAATCAATGAGATCATAAAAGCTTGATTTCCTGAGGCTTATGAGGTAATGCAGGACACAACTGTTAGTTTATATATATCAGGAGATAATTGACTTCCTCTTTGATTCAGCCAGTCTGAACTGTTTCCAAAATATTGATTAAATCACAAAATGGGTGAGGTTGGAAGGGACCACAGTGGGTCAATCTGGTCCAACCTCCCTGCTCCAGCAGGGTCATCCTAGAGCACATGGCACAGGATTGTGTCCAGAGGATTCTGGGATATCTCTGGTGAGAGAGACTCCACACCCTCTCTGTGCAACCTGTTCAGTGCTCGATCACTGCACAGGGAAGAAGTTCTCCCTCATGTTCAGGTGCAACTTCTTGGGCATCAGTTTCTGCCCACTGCATCTTGTCTTACTGATTTGTACCACGGAGCAGAGCCTGATCCAGCCTCTGACAACTCCCTGCATATGCTTATAGACATTGATGAGGTCCCCTCAGTCGTTTCTTCTCAAGGCTGAACAGGTCCAACTCAGCCTGTCCTCATAAGAGAGATGCTCCAGTCCCTTCATCATCTTTGCTGCCCTCCACTGGAGCTGCTGCAGGAGCTCTGTGCCTCTCTTGTCCTGAGGAGCCCAGAAGTGGATGCAGCACTCCAGATGTGCCTCACCAGGGCTGAGCAGAGGGGCAGGATCACCTCCCTGACCTGCTGGCAATGCTCTTCCTAGTGCACCCCAGTATTCCATTGGCCTTCTTGGCCACAAGAGCATGTTGCTGGCTCATGGACAGCTTGATGCCACCAGCACCCCCCAGGTGCTTCTTCAGAGCTGCTTTCCAGCAGGACAGCCCCCACCCTCTTCTACTGATGTTTGGGGTTATTCCTCCCCAGGTGCAGGACCTGCACTTGGCCTTGTTGAATTTCAGGTGGTTCTTCTCTGCCCATGTCTCCAACCTGTTGAGGTCCCTCTGAAGGGCAGCACAGCCCTCTGAGGTATCAGCTACTCCTCCCAGTTTTGTATCATCAGTGAACTTGCTGAGGAGGCATCTGCTCCTTCATCCAAGTCATTGATGAATAAGTTGAACAATACTGGGCCCCCAGTATAGAGCCCTGGGGGACACCACTAGTGATAGGTCTCCAGCTGGACTCTGTGCCATTGGTCAAATCTATCCAGGATCTACTGCTCAACCTGTTCTCAATCCCCTTCGCTGTTCACTCATCCAACTCACACTCCTTGAGTCTGCCTATGAGGATGCTGTGGGACACAGTGTCCAAAGTCTTGCTGAAGTCAAGGTAGACAATGTCCACTGCTTTCCCTTCATCCATCCAGGCAGTTGTTTTGTCGTAGAAGGCAATCAGGTTGGTCAAACACGACTTACTTTTAGTGAACCCATGCTAAAGGTAATAACTTTATACTGGAAATATTCTTTTATGGACTCTGGGAACTTAAAGGGTATAGTAAGGAGGAGTAAATGTTATGTTTTATTTGTGTTATCTTGACACTTACAGCATTTTCTGTTCTGTAGTTGATGAATCTTTTAAACAAGAACAGAAATCTCAAGAACTCAATAAAAGCAATCAGCAAAATGCTGTGCCAGCAGGAGGAGGAGAGGAACGAGAGGAAGAAACTGCCCCTTTAAGCCTGGAAGAAAGAGAAAACAAAGATTACCTTAAATCATTGTTTGAAATTTTGATCCTAATGGGCAAGCAGAATATTCCTTTGGATGGCCATAGTGTTGATGAGCTTCCAGAAGGTATTTTTGCTTCAGATAACTTTCAGGCTCTGCTGGAATATAGAATAAATGGTGGTGATGAAGTTCTGAGGAAAAGATTTGAGATGACTGCAGTCAACCTGGAGTATTGCTCCAAAACTCAGCAGAAACAGATGCTGGAGATCTGTGAGAACTGTGTCAGAGAGGAGACCCTAAGGGAAGTGAGAGACTCACACTTCTTTTCTATTGTCACTGATGAAGTAGTAGACATAGCAGGAGAGGAACATCTGCCAGTGCTGGTTAGGTTTGTTGATGATTCCCACAATCTAAGGGAAGAATTCATTGGGTTTTTACCTTATGAGCCTGATCCTGAAGTTTTAGCCGTTAAGTTCCATGCAACTATTACCGAAAAGTGGGGCCTAAACATGGAGTACTGTCGGGGTCAAGCCTACGTTGTCTCCAGTGGCTTTGCTTCTAAAATGAAACTTGTGGCCACAAGACTCTTGGAAAAGTATCCCCAGGCTGTGTATACTCTGTGTTCCTCCTGTGCCTTAAATGTTTGGCTGGCAAAATCTGTTCCTGTCGTTGGTGTTTCTGTTGCATTAGGAACAATGGAAGAAGTTTGCTGTCTGTTTCATCAGTCTCCACACTTAATGGCAGAACTGGAGAACACAATCTCAGCTCTTTTTCAGGGCAATGAGGAGAAGGGCAATGAGCTGAAGGAGATCTGTCATACCCAGTGGACAGGAAGGCATGACACATTTGAGGTTTTAGTGGACCTCATCCAAGCATTGGTGCTGTGCTTGGATGCTGTGAGCAGTGACTCATCTGTGAGGTGGAACAACTTCACTGCAGGTCGTGCATTTGTCCTTTCCAGTGCGTTAACAGACTTTGATTTCATTGTCACCATTGTCATTATGAAAAATGTTCTGTCTTTCACAAGAGCCTTTGGCAAAAACCTCCAAGGACAAACCTCAGATGTGTTCTTTGCTGCCAGCAGCTTAACAGCAGTGTTGCACTCTCTGAATGAAGTGATGGAGAATATTGAAGTTTACCATGAATTTTGGTTTGAGGAAGCAACAAATTTGGCTGCAAAACTGGATGTACGAATGAAACTCCCTGGAAAACTCCTCAGGGCACGACAAGGAAACTTGGACGCTGATCTGACATCGGAAAACTACTACAAAGAGATCCTGAGTGTGCCCACAGTGGAGCATATTATTCAGGAACTAAAAGATATCTTCTCAGAACAACATTTAAAAGCTCTTAAGTGTTTATCCTTAGTGCCCTCAGTGATGGGGCAGCTCAAATTCAACACCTCTGAGGAGCATCATGCTGACATGTACAAAAATGACTTGCCTAATCCTGACACACTTTCTGCTGAGCTTCACTGCTGGAGAATCAAGTGGAAGCACAGAGGGAAAGATATTGAACTTCCAGCTACTGTTTATGAGGCACTTCACTTGCCTGACATCAAGTTTTTCCCTAATGTTTATGCATTGCTCAAAGTCTTGAGCATTCTTCCAGTGATGAAGGTGGAAAATGAAAAGTATGGAATAGGACGAAAACGCTTGAAGGCTTACCTGAAGAACACCTTAAGAGAGCAAAGGTCAAGCAATCTTGCTCTGCTGAACATAAACTTTGACATAAAACATGACTTAGATCTCATGGTGGACACCTATATTAAACTCTATCCAGAGAAAGTGGAATGCCAAGACTGTGTCTCCCCAAACAAGACTGAAGTAACAGAAAATGCTTAATTTTTAAGCTCTAACCAATCTGTTGAAACACATTTTCTTAATTAAATATCAAAGTTGAGGGGAAAAAAATGTGAAATCTAAAATAAAATCACTGCAGTTATGTTTCCATTTTAGGCCTCAGACTGGAGTTGTGGTCAGTGACCTAAATTCTGTGTTGTTAGTCCACACTAAATGTGTTTGGCAAACAAAATCAAGCCTGAAAAGAAGCCTATTGTCTTGGCTTCTTCTGTACCTGATTGACTTAACTAGGTGCTTGTTTACTATGTCATGGCTTTTGCTGGTTGTAGACCTGATGGGGCTGTTACAGACTCACCGATGAACTAGGGTAAGGAAAAACCTCAGAATATTTAAAGTTATCATCTGTTTCAGTTCTGTTACTTAGGATTTTATTTTTTTTTTTTTTTTGTAATAAAAAAGGCTTTGATGTATATTTAAGAGGCATTTGGGGAAGTGGATTCAGCTCTTGCAGGATCCCTGTGCTGTGGAGTGGAAAGTGAATGTCAGTGATACAGGAGTGGATGGGAAGAGTCAAGTCTTTAATCTGTTAATAACTGTTTACATTCCCTTGTTCGACACAAAACTCTTTCCTTTAGGCTTTTAACAGGAGCATTGAAATTCCCAAGAAATGCTAAATATTGATCCCACAAATGCTTCTCTCCATCCCAGCTCTGACACAGACCCATTGCATCTTCTTGTATGTTTATTTGGAAACTCACCCAGGAAAGATTCAAGTCCAAGTTTGTTGTTGTCTAGAAGTAATATTGAAAATATTGCTGTTATTTTTGGCAAGAACGAAACATTTTTGTACAGTTTACTGCAATTTCAAATAAAATTTGAATTGCTTTTTCAATAGGATTGATTTTCTTGAGGAAGCTGTGCCTTTGGGAAGGTGAGTTCTGCTGTGAAGTGCCTTTTAGCTTGGGCTGGTTTTTGTCCATTGTTTTTGCATCCCAATCCTGATGCATCCCAATTTTATAACTTATTTATAGAATCATAGAAGTGCTTGGGTTGGAAGGGACTTTAAAGACCATCTTATTCCAACCCCCTGCTGTGGGCAGGAACACCTTCCACTAGCCCAGGTTGCTCCAAGCCCTGTCCAACCTGGCCTTGAACACTTCCAGGGATGGGGCAGCCACAGCTGCTCTGGGCAACCTGTGCCAGTATCTCACCACCCTCACAGGGAGCAATTTCCTCCATATATCTAACCTAAATCTCCCGTCTTTCAGTTTAAACCCATTCCCCCTTGTTCTATCACTACAGTTCCTAACCAAGAGTCCCTCTCCAGCTTCCCTGTAGGCCCTTCAGATACTGGAAGGTGCTATCAAGTCTCCACACAGCCTTCTCCAGGATGAACAGCCCCAGCTCTCCTAGCCTGTCTCAATGGCAGAGGTGCTCCAGATCTGTTCTCATCTTCGTGGCCTCTTCTGGTCTTGCTCCACCAGTTCCATGTCCTTCTTGTACTGGGGGCAGGTGGGAATTACAGTCCTCTTATGTTGTAGTGGGAAAGGCCTCCAGCAACAGCAAATGAAATGGTTCCAAAGACTGGGACAAATCCAGTTCTGAATGTTTTAATGCACTCTTGTTTATGAGAATAAATTTGGGAAAAAAACCCTTGGATATTGAAGTTGCCAAGTGCATTGCAAGGAGTGCTTTTGAGAGCTTTTAGTTATATTGAAGTAGTTAAAACCACTTTTCAAAGGTATTACCTTTCTTTCCACTGGGATTTATATATGTTTTTGGCATGTTTTCATGTTAGTGAAATTGTTGTATCAGTCAGTAAAAAGTGTTTTAGCTAATCACTGAATCATTAAGGTTGGCAAAGTCCTCTAAGACTATAGAATCAGAATTTAGGGGTTGGAATGGACCTTACAGATCATCTAGTCCCAACCCTCCCTGCAGTGGGCAGGGACACCTCCTCACTAGACCAGGTTGCTCAAGGCCTCATCCAGCCTGGTCTTGAACATTGCCAGGGTTGGGGCACCCACCTCATCCCTGGGCAACCTGTGCCAGTGTCTCACCCCCCTTACAGTTCTCACATCCAACCTAGAATTGAAGGAGGGAAACCTCCTTCAATTTGAACCCATTCCCCCTTGTCCTGTCACTGCAGTTCCTAGCAAAGAGTTCCTCTCCAACTCCCTTGCAGGCCCTTCAGATAGTGAAAAGTTACTATGAGATCTCCACTCCAGGCTGAACAGCCCCAACTCCCTCAGCCTGTCTGCATAGGGGAGATAAATGATCCTAAAGTCCAACCTATGACCTAACACCACCATAGCAACTAGACCATGGAACTAAGTGCCATGTCCACTCTCTCCTTAAACGCCTCCCAGGATGGTGACTCCACCACCTCCCTGGGCAGCACATTCCAGTATCTAATATTTTGCTCTGTTCCTCTGTATATATGAAGATAGCTCCAAAATCTATGTCAAAGCTATTAAAAAGACATTTTAAAATTAGAAGTCATATGGAAAATTGTCTTTTTTAAAAAAGACGTTCTCAATTACAATTTGAATAAAATATATTGACAAAGAAATCTTTCCCATCTTGGGAAGGTCTGTGGGTTCCCCTGCTAAACACAACAATGAGGTGGTCATGACCTTGGGAATTGTGTGCCCTGTTCCAGTGAAGTCAGGTTGGATGAGCCCAGCCTTACAGTCAGAGAAGGAAAATTGATCCCCACTGCCATAGCATTGCCTGACATAGCTGGGGACTGATTTTGATCTGTAACTGAGATCTGTCCAACCAAAGTACTGAGGCAAATTGAATAAAAGAAATGCAGTAAAACGCTCTTTTAGCCACTGAAGTATCTGCTAGTGCTCACCTGAGGCACACATGGGACTAATGTTGCTAATTAGCTGCTGAATCACTTGGTATGGCTCTGCCTTCTGCAGAGAGGTTCAGGTTGGCTAGAATAAATCAGAAGTCCTGATTCAGCTTGTTTGATTTGCCCTGTTGCTGAAGAATGTCTTTTTAGATGAGTCAGTGCATCACTTACGAACCTGTAGGAGGTTGTCTGAATAGAGATCGTCTGGCCAGATGCTGGGAGAGGGGAGATGTAGATTAGATGTTAGGTCCCTTCCAGTGCCTAAAGGGGCTCCAAGAGAGCTGGAGAGGGTCTTTGGACAAGGGTCTGGAGGGACAGGACAAGAGGGAATGGCTTCCCACTGCTAGAGGGCAGGGATAGAGGGGATATTGGGAAGAAATTCTTGGCTGTGAAGGTGGTGAGGCACTGGCACAGGTTGCCCAGAGAAGCTGTGGCTGCCTCATCCCTGGAACTGTTCAAGGCCAGGTTGGATGGGGCTTGGAGCAGCCTGGTCTGGTGGAAGGTGTCCCTGCCCATGGCAGGGGGGGGGACTAGATGGTCTTTATGGTCCCTTCCAACTCAAACCAGTCTGGGATTCTAAAAACCAAACCACTTTGGAATAATTTTGATTTGCTATATTTTCTTATTACTTCTCAGGAAAAATGTCAGATAAGGCAGTAAACGAGCTGGGGATGTTCAGTCTTGAGAAGAGAAGGCTCTGGGGAGACCTTAGAGCCCCTTTCAGTGCCTAAAGGGGCTTCAAGAGAGCTGCAGAGGGACTTGGGACAAGGCCCTAGCGGGACAGGATAAGGGGAAATTGTTAGAGCAGTTCAGAGACTGACAGAGAAGTGTCTGAAAATGAAATGAATAGTCACTGAAGATTAAGTTTGATTCCATGTTTTTTTCACCATTTCTTGAGCCAGAGGGAATTAACATTTTTTAATATCCTACCAGTTCAGGGCAGTGTGGATTTCCAAGGTTTATCTGGGGTATTTCCCTTGCTTTGACCAGGCACATCTTATGTAATGAAGTAATAGATCTATATAAGTTATTTTAAGTACTGCTGCTCAGATCTAATTTTGGGGAAAGTGGATTTCCATAGCTGCTCAGTGTATTGTGTTTTAATGCACAAAATCTGTTTCCTTTTCCCATACAGAGAATTCCCTATTGCCACGTGGAAATCACTATTGCCACGTGGAAAGGTAACACATAGCATTGTGTCTCCTGCAGCGTTATTTGTCACTGGCTGTAGAAATCCTCTAAATGCTTGTTTGGCTGACAAGGTTGTGCTGGAGAGCAGCAGAGGAGCAGAACCACCTACTGATTCTTGGTGCAGCTCTCCTGTCCCTGCCCTACTGTGTCTGTGCAACATTGCAAACCTCAGAGTGCCCAGGAACATCCCAATTACTCTTCAGCAGATGAGAATAAATCTCTTTATTGGATCTATTTCAAGAAACAGTTGCTAACCTGGAATAAAAAGAGGTGTTATCCCCAAGTAGGCTTAACATTCAATCATTTCCAGACCTCTAATGCTCCCCACTTTCCCTAAGGAGAGCAGTTCTAACAAGCAATAGGAATCTCCCCAACATTTTGCTAGGTGTAAGTAGTGAAACATAAGCAAGAAAAATGGAGCTGGAATTTTTAGACATCTTTACAGCAGTTTTGAGATACATCCTTGTGCATTTGAAGTTTCCTTTGCAAAATAGCACTGTTAATCAAGTAAGATTTTCATGTTTCATAATGCAGTAATTGTTCATTTTATTATTGCCATAATTGTCCAATGTTTATATTTATTTATTTTGGTACAGCAGGCTTTGTTTTTCCATAAAACCATGTCTGTGTGTCCTCTCTTTTAGCTGACAAGAATATCCCTGGAAGTGTCCTTGCAGGCAAGGCCGGTACTGGTGTAGTTTGTTCAGGGAGGTTGAAATGCAGCAATGACAGAGCAGATGCACCTGGAATTCTCTATTCCTCTGCTTTGTAGTGTCCCAAAGTTAAATATATCAGTGACTAAATTGGCTGTGACTGCCTATGTGATCTTAGAGTAGAGGATGCTCGGGTGTTGCACAAAGCTCCCAATGACCCCCCATGGGTACCAGCTGACATCCATACTCTAGGAATAAATTAGTCTCCCAGTTGTAGAACTTTGGATCTTTTCCCTTCCCCTTCCCCTTCCCCTTCCCCTTCCCCTCCCCCTGGAAGAACCTCTGCAAGATCTACTCAGCAAGAAAACAGCTTT